CGCCGCCCGCCGGAGCCCGCTTACCCGGGCAGGCTTTGCGCAGATGCTTCTCCAACAGCGACTCCTCCAGCAGGAACTCGAACCAGCAGGTCTGCGGCGGGGTGCAGGGCCGGCTGGAGGTGGCCGCCTCCCGGTCTGCCGCCTCCGCGCTCATCCTGCCCCCGCCGCCGCTGCTCCCGACGCCTCCCGGCTCCAACCTGACCCTCGCCGGAGCCCGGGGTCCAGCGGAACGGCCCGGAACCTCCGGACGGCTCGCACAGCCCAAGATGGCGGAGTAGCCTGCCCGTGCCCCGCCCCGGATTCGCAGCTCGCCGCGCTCTCGACCAATCGCTGTCGGAATTCGGGGGAAAGGGGCGGGAGCAACAGACCGCCCCGCCTCCCGGCTGCCATGGAGTCGCCTTACTGTGAAGCTCGGTTCTGGCGGGGCTTTCCAGGTTCCCTGGGAATTTCTTTTTCTTTTTTTTTTTTTTTTTGGTTTTTGGAGACAGGGTTTCTCTGTGTAGCTTTGCGCCTTTCCTGGAGCTCACTTGGTAGCCCAGGCTGGCCTCGAACTCACAAAGATTCACCTGGCTCTGCCTCCCGAGTGCTGGGATTAAAGGCGTGCGCCACCACCGCCCGGCCCCTGGGAATTTCTCACCGAGAAAATGAAGTGACTGCGATGTCTTCGCAATCAGAGGAACAAGACCAGATCGAGTTGTTTTGTCTCTGGTGCTTTCCCTCTCTAAGGGTCCTTCCCACCTCCCTCCTCTCCCCGTTTTCCAAATGAGGATTGCATACAGTTAGATCAACTTCTCCAGACTAGCTCTAGGGGTTAGGACCTAGTCAGAGCCCCTCAGATCTCCAGTCCAGGCACAGTAAGCCCGTCTTTACATTCGCCGCCGTTCTGTAACGTTCTTAGGAATCGTCACTCACAAAACTAAAGAGCAAAGCGCGGTGGGCCCTGCCTGGAAAAGCCCGCACTTGGGAAGCTGACGCCGAAGGATTCCTCAAGTCAGAGGCCCGATTGGTCCTCAGAGTGAGTTCCCGGGATCCTGGGGACTGGGTGGCCAGCTGATCTAGCCGAAATAGCTCCTGGGGGAGGGGAGTAAAAGAAAAAAACAACTCCCCTGTCTGCCACTGTCCTACACACACCTCATAGAAAATTTCACAAGTATTACTAAAAATGAGTGTCTTCATTAAGGAACCCTGAACAACATAGAAATAAAATCAGAGGTAGTCAGTTTCTTTTAGATGCCTTTCGGTTTTGTTTTGCTTTGTTTGAAACAGGGTTTCGCTCTGTAGCCTAGAATGACCTGAAACTATGTAGCCCAGGCTGAACTTGAACCTGCATCGATCTTATTGACTCCCAAGTGCTGATATTATAGATCACCGTGTTCCTTGTGGGTTCTTTGTGGGTATTTGTGTGTTTTTAGATTCCTTTAAAAAAAAAAATACAACCATATATAGAATATGTAAAACCATTCTGTAACTATTCTGGGGGTGGATCTTATGTGTTAGTATTCTGACCCGCCCCTTGGAAACCCGCCCCTTGGGGCCACCCTGCACCCTAAGGTAAAGGAAAAACCCCTTCCCCTCCCTCTCCTCTCCCTCCCCTTCCCCTCTCCCCCTCCTTTCCCCTTCTCTCTCCCCTCTCCCTCTTTCTCTTCCTCTCTCTCCCTCTCTCCTTTTCCATCCCCAGGAGGTGTGCACACCTTTGCTTTCTCTCCCTTCTCTTTCCTCCTTCTCTCTCTTCCCTATCTCTCTTCATCTCTTTATTATAATAAACTCTCCACGTGGATGCAGCGCCTGGGTGAATGACTTTCCACGCGCTGCCACCCCGCTGCATCTGCCCAGCAGGTTTTTGCTCACACATGCGCCCTGGTCCAGCCAGCCTTGGGTCCCCTGCGTGCATAATTCATAGCATTAATGTTAATATT